TTTGCTTGACAGTATTCTCAAGCTTGCGGTCATCCCTGTTGCTTGTGCACCTTTTCCTATCCAATTTCTTCCCTCCAGTCAACTTTGCATTTAATATGCTTTGATACAGCACACAATTCTAATATTTTGAGATACCGGAATTTTTACTTTCATGAGCTGTAAGCTCTAATCATCAAAATTAAAACAAAAAAAAAACTTTTGAAATGTTTTACTTTACATGTAATGAATCTAGAATATATGAAAGTTTCACTTTTTGAAATAAGTTACAAAAAAATGAATGTGTGTGTGTGTGTGCTTCTGTCTAGAAGACAACTTAAAAACATACCCCACTCTGCAAATCACTCCACTACAAATTGATAACTGCATCTGTTATAGAAGGCTCTCTTTTCTCTCTCTCACTCACTTGAATCATAACATCACCTGTCATAGTGCACTTTGAAGTGGCATTTGCAAACTGCTTTATTTCCTTTTTGTGCATTGCACTGGGCATTTTCTTCAGCATTCAGTTGTATACTTCACATTGGTCTGAGACCACTTATATCCATTTCCTGGAAGCTATTTTATTTCCACTGAGGTCATGCACTGATTGTTTTTTACTTTTTAAAAATTCCATTTGTTCAGTACATGTACTTTGCACAGTACTTCGCTTGACATGCCATAGTTCTGTTTCAAAGGAACTGAAAAAAAATCTTGACCTCGCTGTGACATGTCTGTGGTTTAGTTTCTCAGAACAAGTAGCCTAACAAAAAAAAATTAGCTGGTTGTAACATTTATTTTGTTGAATAAGCCATATGTAATATTTAATCTTAGAATGACAATAATTACAAAATCAATTTGTTCAAATGTATTTATTAATTTTAACATGACAAAATAAATGCCCCTATATGACTTTGTATACTTTGTTACCACAGAAGAATAATACCCAGCAATAAAAACAAATAACAAACATGTAACAATTAATTAGAATATCATAATACAGGCACATTATAAACAGCTTAAGTAAAATAAATATTAAAACAGTTTGGTTCATAGAAAAGAAAATGAGTTCCAACTAAACAATAACTGCATATTTTACAGTATAAAAATAATTTACAGGTTAGCAATACATCTAAAATAGCTGCCACATTAAGTCTTTGTACTTTTTAAGTCGAATCAGAAATTACTGAAGTTGCCGCTAAGTCTAACCACGCATCATTGTACAAAACAAATACGTCAAAGTTTCGGTGAGTAGGAACTTGGTTGTCTGATACCAAAAAAAAAAAAAAAGTACACAAAATCACGCGGCATGACTGCATGTGAGCAGCGTGCTTTTCTTCAGCTGCTCAGCCAGGAAATCAAAACAGAACAAAAGCTAAATGCTACAAAACAATAACAACAAAACAAAATATAGGAAGTGGTCCTGTCTGTGAGTTTGCATTTACAAATATATTATTATAAACACTAGGAAGTGTGTCAGAGCTGTGGCCTAGCGGTTAGCTCTTGTGCTCTGACTCATTTAACAGTGCTCATGTGGCCGCTGCAAATCTGAATCATGACATTTTCCTGATTATGACATTTCCCCCTCCTCTAAAATAAAAATAGCAGAAACTAAAAGTCATGTTAAAAACAGTCTTCACAGTCTTCATTTGCATTGCACGTTGTACGTCCAGAGAAAAAGCTTTCTCTATGACCCTCAATCATTTGCGTCTCTCCCGTACTGAGAGTCTGCAACCTCAGCATTTGCCTCAGCTTCCGACGAAACTCTTTCGATGCAAAATAATAAATAAATGGATCTATGCAACTATTAATGCAGCTAAGAGACAGGGTCAGTTTATAGTAGATATAGAGAGACTTGTTGTAGTACAGCCTTGCGATCGAGTGGGCCAAGAGTAATATGTTATTGGGAGCAAAACAAAAAATGAACACAAACAGAACGATGCACGCCAACCGCACAGCACGGCCTTTCTGTTGACTATTGGTCTTTCTGATCAGGACGCAGATGATGTTAATGTAGCAATACACTGTTATGATGAACGGACAGAGGAAGAGAATGATGAACATGCCAAAAAGGAAGCCCGCCCAGTGAGCAGTGCTCGGGAGCATGTCCTTCTTCAACACGTCAAAACATGTGGTGATATTGCGCTCCTTTACTTCATATATCAGTTCTGTGCGTTCCAGCGGGTTCAGAATCACAAGGACTAGCAGCCATATGAATATACAGGCAACAATTGCATATGTTTTTCTCTTCCTCATCTCTCTGAAGCGCATCGGTTTTACAATCCCCAGGTAGCGGTCGGCGCTAATAGCAGTCATGAATAAAATGGAGCAGTACATGTTGGCATAGAAAACCACCGTCAGTACATTGCACATGCCTGCACCCAAAGTCCAGTTGTAGCCCTGCATTTGGTACGCGATCTGAAAGGGGAGCACAGTGCCCAGTATGAGGTCAGTGAGGGTGAGGTTGATCATGAAGATGATGGAGGGGGTTTTCGGAGAGGTGCGCATCAGTAACAGAAACAGAGAGATGCCGTTACCGCTCAGGTTGGCAAGGGTCACGATGACATAGATGGCTGACACAATTTCACTGGCCAATTTGTTGTCAAACATGGCCAAGGTGGCATTGTCCATTTTGATGTTGACCTTTTGTGAGTCATTCATGGTTGTTTTCCCACCTGTTTGAAGAGACAGAGAGATTACACCTACTATAAACTGTGATTTTACCACTTGAACCTCAAATTGTGATAAACATCTGCATTGTTGGTTAGTTTTATTTGTTGTACAAAAATTGGGGTGTAGAAACAATTGCTAGTAGTTTTCACAAATAATTACAAAGAAACGGGAAGTAAAACATTGAATTAAATGTGAAAATTCCAAGTAGAAAGACTGATATAGTACTCCAAAAATCTATTTTATTTACAACTTTGACAAAATCATATTTTTACACTGTAGTTGAACTTTAAGTGCTTCATTTAAGATTCTTTTAAAAAAAGAAAATGTATCATATTTTTAAAAATGCATAAATTCTCATTTAATAATAATAAATAATTATTCATAATAAATAATTTATGCATTTAGCAGACGCAAAGCGACTTACAGTGCATTCAGGCTATACATTTTTTACCAGCATGTGTGTTCCTTGGGAATCGAACCCACGACCTTTTGCGCTGCTAACGCAATGCTCTACCACTGAGTCACAGGAACATTATAACACATAATTGATATAAAGATTGCAATTTAAATAGTTTTTACACTCTCAGAAAAAAAGGTACAAAAGCTGGGATGGCACACTTCCAAAAGGTACATTTTGTACCTTATTTACTCCTAAAGGGTGCATATTAGTACCTTAAAGTTACATATTATTACCTAAAATGTAGTAGTACTTAAATGGTATTAATACGTTTTGAAAGGGGACCACTGCAGTGACAATGTTTGTACCATTTTTTTTTTCTGAGAATGAATGTATAATGGACAGGTTTAGCATTTATATATAATTTAATTGATCTAAATATTTGATCTAAATATTTTAATATTTATGTTAATATTAACATTTACAAAAAAAATTCTAAATAAAATACTATAAATTAATAGTTTATTTGATTTTAGTATCTACTCTTAAGATGCCTGTGACATTGTAAGGTTTTGCTGAAAAGACTTCTCCCTGCAGTCGCACAGGAAAGACATGAGATATAAATGTAAAAGTGATGCTACTTCACACCATCACATAGATTGAGGTGCACTCTGTGAACAGGAAGTGCGAGGCCAGGTTATAGGCTTTCCAAACATGCTACTTCAGCAGGTACACACAAGGCAGATGGCACATTTAACCAACAAATCACTGCCGTAAGTCGTAATTCTCAGAGCTGTTTCATAAATGTTGACTGAAATGATTCACACGGACAGAGTCTCGAGCAAGGGACTTTTTTGTGATTTTTCAAAGGAAGTGAAAAAATTATTTTAATGCCACAGCGTGTGCCAGCATCAGATTTGACAGTCATTACAGATCTCGTGCGGCTGTCTTGCACAGATTGCAATTGTAGGGGTCGGCTGTAGTTTCAAATGCTTTACGTGAAATAATGTTTTCTGAAACAGTGTCCTGGTTTCTTTAACAGATATTCATAGACTTGATGCGTCTTTTTTGAGGTCATGATGCCAACTTATGGGTACACCACCTTTCTGCATACTCAAACTGAATGCTTAAAGTTAGTGGCTAACTTTATGTTCAGGAAAATTATAAGTACTGCGAGTAAATTACTTGGTATCCCTGTGATGGGTTTACAACAAATTTATCAGACTAGATGTCTTGGTAAAGCTATGAAAATTATATCTGATGAGAGGCACCCACTGTATAATGAGTTTGAGCTTTTGCCTTCGGGTAGAAGATTCAGGATACCGGTGTTTTTTAAAAATAGAGGGAAAAAATCTTTTATAACACAGGCAGTGAAGTTCTTAAATGAAAGATAGGAAAGAAAGAGTTTTTTTTTTCTCTTCTCTCTTTCCTCTCAATTTCAAACAATTGACCCTCATGACTGGTTTTGTTGTCCAGGGTCACATATATAATTCACCCAATTTTATACAACATTTTTTCCTAAAAATAAGGTGATTTTTTTCTGGCTGTTGACAGTATTTGGTCCCACTTTATATTAGGTGGCCTTAACAACTATGTACTTACATAAAAATAAGTACAATATACTGCTATTGAGGTAGGATACGGGTAAAGTTAGGGACCGGTTTTGGTGGTATGGGTAGGTTTAAGTGTTTGTTAAGGTTTAAGGAATGTGTCAAAAGTGTAATTATAAATATAATTACAGAAATTAATTACAGGTGTAATTACATGCAGGTATTTTTTAAAATATAAGTACAATGTACATGCATGTACACAATAAGTGCATTGGATCAACTGATTAATTTAAATCTAAGTACTAGCAGTTAAGGCCACCTATAAAGTGGGACATTTCTGGGTTTATGGAGTGATGAAAAGAGACATCCAAAATCTCCTCTGTAAAAACCTTTGACTGTATGTCAGCAGAATGAAAAAAAAAATCATAATAATTTATGCAAATTCGTGCATATTTGATTAAATAATGCATCATTTGCATATTTAAATATAACATTTCAGAAAACTTGTAATACAAATAAAAATGTTTGCAATTCTTAATGTAGTAAATCAACTGGGGAAAATATGGTGATATCTATTAGTTAAGGGACAGTTTACCCCCCAATTCAATTCAGTTCAATTCAGTAATCATTTATTCATCTCATGTTGTTTAAAACCTGTACAGTATGTCTTTCGTTCTTCTGCAGAGGACCAAGGAAGATATTTTGAAGACTGCTGGGGTCCAAAAAATATTGGACATTGTTGACTTTCAGTGTATCAATATAAGAAAACAAGTCATGCAGCTTTAGAACAACATAATAGTGAGTAATTTTTTTAAAATTTATTTATTGAATTTTTTTCTTGGGCCATCTACCCTTTTAGCTAAACCATTGTTCATTACCTACAGAATGTTTTTTTGTTTTTTTTTCGCCATTGCTATTGTCATTTTTTCAATGGCTATTTGATTTTTCTGTTAAATTTTAGCTACACTCTATACTTGAAGTCCATCAATTGCATCCTTCACAAGTATTTTTATATGGGCGTTTTAAGCCCAAGTTTTGTGCAAGCGCTCCTATAGCACAACTGGTGGAGAACACATTAACAGTGCTACTCACATCAGTACAAACTGATGTATACTGTACCTGACTGTACTGCATGTCATTTTGCATTTGGTATCTGCCTAATTCAAAATCGCAAAATGTATAAACTACTAACCTGTTATCACACTTAGCTACATAACATGTTTTTTTGCAGTGAAACCATGGCTATGTGAAGATAACAACCTAGCCGCGGCTCGTTGCCACACTTGCTTGATTTAAAAGTTCTCAGAATATGTTTTTTTCCCATATAGTCCGTTTCCATATAACCACAAACCACCTCGGCTACAAAAACCTTGAACATTCTCACAGTTATTGCCAAAGTTCATTAACATATATTGCCTCAATAATGGGGCCTGTTATCAAACTATATGGAGTAAGTTGTCACAATGGAACCTGCTATTAAATCGCCTTTTCTAAACTTGTCTGCAAAAATTAAATAGTAAAACAGCTATCGAACACAAATTCAAGAAGCAGAAAGAAGGTAAAAGGTAACATACAAAACATTTTAGTTTGAAGAACAGAATTCAACTAAATTCTATTAATTTTAAAGAGTTTTAGGAGTTCGAAACGACCATATAAAATCACTGCCAGATAAACACACATATTGTAAATTAGATTTGAATATAAATCCTCATATAGTAACTCACAACTAGGCCCATTGTTTCCTGTTTTACAGGAGTAAAAACATAATACAGGCTCAGAGTAAAATCTCACAGTACTTTCTCATCACTCATGAGGTGTTACACCATCATGACTCATCTGCTAGTAGTCAAAACAAAAAGAGCTCTCTGTTGTGAAATGACATTGGTAGTATATGATCAATGAATTTTTAATGGAGTCTAACATAGACATTTTTTTTATCAGTGTTACTATATTTTAAATGTTACATTTGTTGTCCTTTGTATCAAAAGGAGATTCAGTTGGAACGTTTAAAATAACTGTCAAATCTGGAGTAATTGTGTACTGAGATTGTATGAGATCATCTGTTCAGTGAACCATCACACAGTTCTACCTCGACAAGAGCAGCACAGCGTTCAGGTAACAATTCATCCGTTCTAACTAACAGCAGAGCACATGTACAAAATGTAACTTTTCACTCAAATCTGAATTTCCAATAATCTTTTAGGGAAAACCACATGACGTACCTGGACTATCACAGCGATTCGTAAAGTATATCTGCACATATTTAGGAAATAAATATCAATATAAGGCTTGTGTACGTACCTCAAGAAGCAAGCGCGACTTCCCTCGTGTGTTGACGGCAGTTAATCTGGCATGACTGTTAGACGCAGGAAACTGGACTCAACAATAATTCTAAAAACCTGTAGGCTATTTTAATAACAGACGGGATCTTTAAGTGCAAATCAAAGGTAAGGCATGTAGCCTCCCACCACCGAATGACTGCAATTTCTCAAAAACATGCACACTGTTCAGAAATATCACAAAACCTGTTATTTGACCTAACAGAAGACGATTTTAACAAACAACTTTTTGTTCTTTTTGGCCCATATATGGAGTAAGTTGTCACAATGGAACCTGCTATTAAATCGCCTTTTCTAAACTTGTCTGCAAAAATTAAATAGTAAAACAGCTATCGAACACAAATTCAAGAAGCAGAAAGAAGGTAAAAGGTAACATACAAAACATTTTAGTTTGAAGAACAGAATTCAACTAAATTCTATTAATTTTAAAGAGTTTTAGGAGTTCGAAACGACCATATAAAATCACTGCCAGATAAACACACATATTGTAAATTAGATTTGAATATAAATCCTCATATAGTAACTCACAACTAGGCCCATTGTTTCCTGTTTTACAGGAGTAAAAACATAATACAGGCTCAGAGTAAAATCTCACAGTACTTTCTCATCACTCATGAGGTGTTACACCATCATGACTCATCTGCTAGTAGTCAAAACAAAAAGAGCTCTCTGTTGTGAAATGACATTGGTAGTATATGATCAATGAATTTTTAATGGAGTCTAACATAGACATTTTTTTTATCAGTGTTACTATATTTTAAATGTTACATTTGTTGTCCTTTGTATCAAAAGGAGATTCAGTTGGAACGTTTAAAATAACTGTCAAATCTGGAGTAATTGTGTACTGAGATTGTATGAGATCATCTGTTCAGTGAACCATCACACAGTTCTACCTCGACAAGAGCAGCACAGCGTTCAGGTAACAATTCATCCGTTCTAACTAACAGCAGAGCACATGTACAAAATGTAACTTTTCACTCAAATCTGAATTTCCAATAATCTTTTAGGGAAAACCACATGACGTACCTGGACTATCACAGCGATTCGTAAAGTATATCTGCACACATTTAAGAAATAAATATCAATATAAGGCTTGTGTACGTCCCTCAAGAAGCAAGCGCGACTTCCCTCGTGTGTTGATGGCAGTTAATCTGGCATGACTGTTAGACGCAGGAAACTTCTTGATGAGAGGAAGTACACTGCCTGACTACTCAATTCGATCAAAATATAGCTTAGAGGTACACATATGTGAAATGTAACAACATATTCCATGCTTCCAAATTTATCTTATAAATTGATCACATTTCTAAGAAGATTACGTAGAGTTTCATCATCAAAGATATAACAACTATTAATTCATCGGTTCAGTGGTATTCACAAACAAAACTGAATTTACAGCATCCACAGAGGAAGTTCCTCTAATGTCATGCTGGTTTTACACAATTTCTCTTTCTCATTAATGATGTGTGTCTTTTAATGTTTTGTTGGATTGGATTTTTAAACACCTGCTAAAGTGAAATTGATGTGGTAGGATGTGGTGAAGGCAATATGCCACATAAACCAGTAAAATAAAGGCACACACCTTTCTTCAAGCCAAGCACAAGTACTCTGAGGGGTCCCACCCAATCAAACTGTGAAATGAACAATTCACTTTTGAGATACGCCAAATGAACTTACTTGTATTAGCATTAATACAAACCTCAGTGTTTCTTTGGTCAGGCCTGTAAAATCACGTGGATATATAGACATAGAAAGTATTTATTCATAGATTTTTACAAAAGAAAAACAAAAAGAGAAAGTGTAATGCAGAAACTCATTCGGGGGGTTTTATCAGCGTCAGACCTGTGATCTAGTTTCCTGTTTGCTTTATGAGCTTAACTTTTATGTCGGTTATTCATGCATTTTACTAGACAACACACTAACCGAAAATAAGCGTTTTATTTTGGAGTAAGGGGAACTGTTATTTGCTTTTACTACTGACTGACTATAGATAACTGCCATTAGTGACAGTATAGGATGTGTTTATCACATCTTCCATCAATACTCCTTCACTGAGAACAAGAAAGCAGTGGTGATAGGTATGCAAAAACCAGACTAAGAAGTAAAATTAGAGGTAAAAAGTCATGCCGTGAAAGACACAGGAAGACATTATGACTTGTTTTCTCAGTTTGAAAGTGTGGGAACTAAAGGAGTAGTATGAGAAACTGCAAATTACATTAATTTCCATCTTTTCAGTGCAAACTGATTCTGGTTTAGAGTTGACTCACAAAGAGCAGACTTCAGCTGCTGAGCTGTTTTGCAAGCAAAGGCCATAAATCTTAAGAAATCTAGCCTTAAGAAAAAGTTTTTTTTTTTTTTTAGGATTATTTCAATTGCGATTTAGCTGCACGAGAAACTGTAATTACGGTGCAAATACTGAATTATAGAATTTTGTAATTTTATATAATTCAATTTCTTTGTTAATTTAACTAATTTATTTTAACCAAATTCTTTCATTGTTTTTAAAGCTATACATTGTTAAATTTAATCAAAGTCAAAATATAGGTTACAAATTTAAATGTTTAAAGTAAAGAATCATAAGAAATAATAATGAAATTCAAATAATACTTTATATAATCATATATCTTTATTGTACACAAATGGTCAATCCATCAAATACAGTTTCACATTTTTAAAGTATTCTACAGAGTTCACTTTTTTTGTTGGACTCAACAATAATTCTAAAAACCTGTAGGCTATTTTAATAACAGACGGGATCTTTAAGTGCAAATCAAAGGTAAGGCATGTAGCCTCCCACCACCGAATGACTGCAATTTCTCAAAAACATGCACACTGTTCAGAAATATCACAAAACCTGTTATTTGACCTAACAGAAGACGATTTTAACAAACAACTTTTTGTTCTTTTTGGCCCACAGGTAAAACGATGCTCTGACATTTGCTATATCCTGTTGTGAGATATATTTGTTAATACAGAAAAACCACAATGTCTATACATCAGGGACAACAGAGGCGTCATTCAAAGGCATTACAGTGTGAAAGTGTAAAAATTAAGAGTTGCATGCTTAAATATTTCATTAATACAATGTAGCATTTTTATATTCCTAAAGAAAAAATATGTCTCTGTTCCCCATCCCACATTACATATATTTAAAATACAGATTTCACAACACATACGGCTTTCTTTACAGTAAAATCTCTCTGCGGTTTCTAGCACCAGGTTGGTACAGCTGCATTGCCGGTCGGTCCTGTGCCGTGAAATGAGTAAGACACAAAAGACAAAAGCAATACACTCATATTTCATACCACAAACACAGATTTTTCTCATGACAGGTTACTTAAGAAAGTGCTATTCATGCATATAATCAATTTCCGTCCCCTTCTGAATCACATTTCAGTTAGGCAGACAACCAGCTATTGACAGCCCCTCAAAATCCATTTAGTCTATAACAAAAACATTTTACTGCACTGTATCGGTTATGCTCTTTTTTGCATTTAACATGGTTTGTATTTATGGTGGTGGTGATGGGGGTGACACATAATGGCTAAAGCTCAGGGCTAGTAACCGGACTACTGTTGCTATCATCGCTTCAGAAAATATGTGTAAGTCACTTTGGATAAAATCATCTGCTAAATGACTACTTACTAATTGTATAAACAGAATCCAGCATGTAATCATTTCAATGTGCAAGATCATATGTATTCTTCTATATACATGTAGGATCTGTTCCAAAACCAAGTGAAATGCTATTTACTGTCTACATAGGAAGCAGCCTTTTAAGACAACACTCTACATATGCTTTACATAGGCAGCAATCACACAAATAGTGCTCCTCATCAAAAACATATTGGGAAAAATTTTATTTTTATATATGATTAAATTATTTTTATCCACACCTTTCACTATACATAGTGTATAAAAAATTTAGTGGATAAATATGGTTTAACTGAAATTTCTCTTTCCTAAAATAGACCTAGATTTTAAACAGTTTTTTTTTTTTTACATTTTAAAGTCCTTAAAGGGTTAGTTCACCCAAAAATGAAAATTAGACCATAAATTACTCACCTTCAAGTCATCCTAGGTGTATATGACTTTCTTCTTTCAGATAAATCCAGTCTGAGTTATATTAAAAATTGTCTTTGATATTTCAAGTTGTTTAATGCCACTCAGCGGGTGTTGCATGCATCAGTCCAAAATAAGTTAAATAAAAAGCACCCATCCATAAAAAAAGTGTCTCACACAGCTCCGGGGGGTGAACAAAGGCCTCCTGTAGCGAATCGATGCGTTTTTGTAAGAAAAATATCCATATTCAAAACGTAATAATCACTTTAATGTAGCTTGCGCCAACAGTCC